AGTCACACCATTTTACTAGCTCTTTGTAGTTTTTGTTCGTTACATGGTGAGGGGGGAAATGACATTTCGTTAGGCCTAATGAAACTTGCAGCTTCATCTTCATCATGTAAGATGCCATTGTAATCCTTTTGTCTCATTACAAGGAAGAACTAACACAAGATAGGACTGATTTCTTGTCAGGTAGTTAAGCATTTGAAGAAGATCAGAGTTTGGGGGTTAGATTTATTGGTAGACCAAATAACCAAGTATTGTAAATGCTATTTTAAAATAATTTGGAAGAAAATGATTGCACTGAATCTTTTTAAATGAGTTTCAGTTTTAAATTTTATTCCTTTTTTGAAAATTGTATTGGACTTCCTTTTTAAAATTAAAACAGAGTCATAATTGTATAATTTACTTTGTGAGCTTTTATCAGTTTGTATTTCTATTCATTGTCCTATTTTCTCATCTCAATTTTGCTGTTCTTTCACTACAGACTGCTGGAGAATTACCAGTCCTAATTCCTGTTTCAAAATATGGGCCACATAAGCTCGGTCTCACTATCTTGAACGATCTAGTGTAGATTATGATACTCTCTAGATCAGCCCATTATATTAATCTTCCATTTGCCAAAACCTCTAGTCTTTTACTCTTTTACTTTTATAACATAAGGCTGGTTTTCTTAGAATACTCCATTGCCTTTTGTTGACATATCCGCGGTTATTTCTAGCTTATGATCTGTGGAACCCTGGAGATACTGGACCCATTTCTAAGTTAATGTTGTTTTCATAAGACTGAAAGGTAGTTGTAAAAATTCCTTCCCTGGGAAAATGTCAGCAACACCTACCACATCTTTATCAAACTGGAACAACACACCAAAATATAATTCATAATGAGTTTTGGGGACTAGTGATAGATAGTATGAGGGATTGCTTGCAGGAGCATATAGAACCCCAAAGCAGCTACACTCAAAAGTCTTAACCAGCATGAATCATGACTTCTCCCATAGCTGCATAAATAGAGTTTCCCCTTTTGTTAATGGTTTCTTTTCTCTATACTCTTAGCACTTCCCAAGACCAGAAGGCTACATGCAATTAGTACAGACTTGCATAAGGTAGCCAGGAGACACTTAGAGGAGTTGCCAGAATTTCAGGTGTGGTTTTAGTGACCTTCCCCAGCCCCTCCTTTGAACATCAGTAGTCAACAAGTCCTATCTCAGGGATCTCGTGCAAATGGTCACAACTATTTTGACTAAAAAGAGGCCTGTTAAGCTCAGAGGATAGCATTCTATAATAGATCTTGGTCATTCCATGTATGCTATATGACAGACATTTTCCAGAATAGGAAATACATAATGCTGTTATTTGAGGGCAAACAAGCAAGTGTATTTATTGCTAGAGAAAAATTCATGACTAAAACGAAAATTACAGTTTTAGATAATTTTCATCTGCTACCTTGAGCTTGACAGTTTCTCTGAATCCAAAGAACTTCTGATAAGAGCAAAACAATTGCTAAGTTGATGAATGTAGGTTATAAATCTCATCATTTCGAAGATGGGAAACCACAACCAACCAGTGTTTTCTAAATGATCAGCACCTAATGTTTATAAACTCTTACATATGGGGGAAAAAGAGCTACTCAAAAGGAAATATAGACCTGTGATTTTTTAATGTATTTATATGAAAAATTTATTGTTATGGTTGCAGATTCCACATTGTACTGACTCCTTTTATTTACTCTTGCAAAAATTCTTATCAGGCTTTGGTATTATATTGAAGAATGCCATAATTATTTGAAAATGCAATTAAAATACTATTGCTGTTTCAACCTTCATATTTAAGTCCTGATTTTCTCTTAAATATCAGCCAAAATAACTACAGCAACCAATTGGGAATAGAAACATAAAAGAACTGGCTCTTGTATTTAGCCAGTCTTCGAGGACATTTGGAAAAAATGTAAAGACAGTGTCATTCTTTTAGATTTTTATTAAAATAATTATGTGTCATTAAAATATTTTAATATCAATATGTGATAGATTTTAGTTTCTAATATAATGTGTGTTGACATAACCCATATGAATATATTCCCAGTAGTTATTCAGTCTCATCGAATCTTGATAAAAAATTGATAATGTTAAGGCTACAAAGTAATATCTAATCTCAAAGTGATTTCTGCTGGAAGTTTACTTTCGATTCTTTTTAATGTTTCTAAAATTATTTAATTTTAGTAATGAGGCCAGCATGTAATGTCCTTAGTATTCTCAAAGGAATGGGATACAGCAAATCTAAAATTGTTTCTAATTTTGCTATTAAGAGTCTCCTTTGTAAGTCTGTTGTGCTTTTCCCTAGTGAATTTTAAGTACTAAAAATAATTGGAAGTCAGAATTAGAAGTAAATCACTAGAGTCAAAAGATTGGCAGAACTGTTAAGGTGAAATAGGGCAAACCCTGAACATGTTCTGTTCTTTTAATCCTCAGCATGTAGCCTTGTTATTGCTCTTTCAAGTAACCAAAGGAATGAGGACGGGATAGAATGACTAAATTAAATTTATAGACTTTACAAAAAAGGTTGGGGATTTGTTATTGTTGCTGATGTTTGTTAGTTTTTGTTAAAAGTGTTTCTTAAATCTTAATCCAGAAATGTTAAGCAGAACAAAAGCAATCACTTATTTCTGTGTCTTCTTCCATAGAGTTCTTAAACTATTTTTTAAAAACCCTGCTGGAAATAGTTATAAAATTAACAATACTGGCTTCTGTGATGACTCATCAATCTCTCATTTTAGACCAATTTTTAAAATTTTTTTTTTATTTCATCCTATATTTATCAGCATACTTTAAATGATTCTTGGTGTCAATACCTTTTGTTGTTACTTATTTCACATACCATTAAGAAACTAGAATAAAGTTTAGCCTACACAAAGGGAAAATGTTGGGAGGCTTAAAGAAATCATTCAGGATCACACAGATAATTTAAGTTTTCTTAAGTTTAGTGCTAACATAGATTTATATTTTGACAAGAAACATGAATTATGTAATCAATACGATAGTTAAGATTCTGATTTTTAAAGGGTAAGATTTATTGATGCCATTGTGCTTTAGTATCAGTCGTAAAGTACAGTGGACAGCTTGGGTTATATTTGACTCATTTGTGTAATAAAGTTAGTCACTTGAATAAAACTTGTGTAAGTCACTATGTTTCTATTTAACATAGACCTGTCTCTCTCTAAGTTGTCTTAATATTTGACTCTGGAATCAAGCCTCCATTGTGATAAAATGTAACTCATTTGTCTAAAGCATATGATTCTGATCAGTTTTGATATAACTTTTAACTATAGATAAGAATATTATATTCATGTCCAAAGGATTAAGAGTGTATTTAAATTTTTCAAAAATAATTTTGGAAATCCTTAGGATAAATTAGGATGCTGTTCTACCATTAAATGAAGATAATTAGACTAACAAAGGGAAATCTATAGGTATGGAGTGGAGATTCTGTAAATGCCATATGTAACTATGTATTTTACAGCACAGATAGAAACAGGATGCTGAGGCAATACTTTCCTATGAATCAGTACTGTGTTTAGCCAAATTCTTGGTATTATTGGTTTGTAGACCTTGACTTATTTTTGGAGGCATTGGTGAGCTCCCTAAAATAAGACATAGTTAAATAGACCCACAGAGGCTAGGAATTTAAGTCAGAAAAAAATTAGAAGGTATTATTTAACACATACAGTATTTGAGAGGAGGGATAGGTACTTAAGAGCTTTGAGTTGTATCTTTCTACACATATCTTCCTTAATTTTGCTATTTGGGTTATTGCAACTTGAGACAGCTATTAATCGTTTGCATTTATTGAACTCAGTGCCATTCATACATGCTATTTAGGATTTACAACAGCCTTGCCCATGTAGGTATTTGTTTTCTAATGTGTTCAGTTTAGGTTGCTTCTGGAGCATATCTTAATAGTAATAAACAAGGAATTTGAAGCAATTGTTTTTGTATGTTCATAAAAGGAATTAGTCCTTTGTGGCTAAACAGCTTTTAGTACATGTAAGGAACTATCATAAAAACTTTATTTAATTATCTAATATGTAATTATTATTAAGGTATATTCCACATTTCATAATGCAAATGAGTCAACAGTTCATATTAAAGCACTTTAAAGGAGCAAAGGTAATAGTGATCAGTTGGGACTTGGTGATTGTTACAATTTGTTTTAATGTTAGGCACTCTCACCTTTTAAAATGGCACGACAGTAGTGCATCTTTAGATCTTCCTTTAAAGAAATCATTTTGTACGTTTTAAGATCTTACTGGCCTCTAGTGGTAATGTGATGCTATAGTTTAAGTGGCTCCAGTTCTTATAAGTCCAATTTGTAGAACTAACAGTCCACTCTTAACTTTGCTCACTCAATTTTTTCCCCTCCCTCCCTCCCTCCCTCCCTCCCTCCCTCACTCCCTCCCTCCCTCCCTCCCTCCCTCCTTTCCTTCCTTCCTTCCTTCCTTTTCTGTCTTTCGGTTCTCTAGACAGGGTTTTTCTGTGTAGCTCTGTCTATAGATCAGGTTGGCCTCAAACTCACAGAGATCTGCCTGCCTCTACTTCCCAAATACTGGGATTAAAGACATGCACCACCACTGCCTGGCTACTCACTCAATTCTCGATTAATTGTATTTTCAAAATGTTCATGAACATCCTCTTTGTCCAAAGGCTAGAAATCTTTTTTCCTTTCTTCTTCTTTGTTTTATTTTGAATAGTATTGGTTTAGCTCTGAAGCAACTTCCTATTGTTTAAGTCTAAATGCCATGTGTTGTTTACAGTGTCAAGTTTGTGCTGTTTTCTTATTGTATGTTTGAGCTTCTCTGCAGATTGTAGGAACATGTTTTTCTTACTCCATTATAATAGTTTGAGATTCATGCTTAGAATCATGTCTGTTACGTTGCCTTTAGAGAATCTTGTATTTCAAATACTGGTAAACCAGGTATGAAAATGGTTTGTTAATTTGTTTTTCTCTTTTGCTATACAGACGTAAAAGGACCACCCACCCATCGTCTGTCTTGTGGTCAGTCACCCTACACCGAGACAACATCATGGGAGAGGAAGTACTGCATTCTCACAGACAGCCAGCTGGTGTTGCTCAACAAGGAAAAAGAGGTGAGATGCAAAGCTACTATTCATTGTTAAGCACATTTCTGAAGTTATGTGCTTTTTCTTTGTTTTTTGATAAAGTTGCATTGTACAAATATAGGCTCTAGCAACCATAAAGTACACTAAATGGGGGCCACTGTCTTAATGATTATGTTGCTGCAATGAAATAGCATGTTCTGCAAGAGAGGGCTGGATTTTGAATAAGAAAACACTAAAAATCATATTGAGTTGATAAATTTGGAATGGGAAGCTATAAAGTTATGGAAAGCTGGTCCTACAAATGATCTAGCGGGACTAAATTGTATCAGCTTACTCCTGTGCTGACCAGTTGTATGTCATCTTGACACAAGGTAGAGTTATTTAGAAAGAAGGATCCTCAGTGGGGAAAATGTCCTTACTAGATTGGCTTGTAGGCAACTCTGTGGTATATTTTCTCGATTGATGTGTGAGGGATTAGCTCACTGTGGGTGATGCCACCCCTAGATGGGTGGTCCTGAATGGTATAAGAAAGCAAGCTGAATATGTCAGTCCTCTCTGGCCTTTGCATCAGCCTCCCGGTTCCTGCTGTGTTTGAGTTCCTATTTTGAATTCCCTCAGTGATGAATTGTGATTTGAAACTGTAAGCTGAAATAGACCTTTTCCTTCCGATCACTTTTGGTAACTGTGTTTTATCATAGTAGTAGATACCCTAAGTAAGACAAAATCCAATGAAAGCAGACTGCGCACTCAGCAGATTAATGGAAAGATTTTGATAAATGGATAATTTAAAGAAGTGTGGGAAGAATAAGAATCTTAGCAAATGATGGAGAAGTACACATGAACTAGCAACAGCAGAAAGCAGCTATAACTGTAGTTCTCAGGACAGTGGATGAAAGCCCAATTTTTATAGATCAGTGAACCATAATTGCATGAAAGAAAGAGCACTGCCTGTCCCAGATGCTAATGGGCATCCAGAAGGAAATAAGAGAGAATAAACACTAACTCTTCTTTTTCTGAGACTAGTGTCCCTCCTGGCCAAATCTTATTTGAAGACAGAGAAGATTATTTTGATGTGTTCTTTATCATTGAGCTTCTTGAAACCAATAAGGGAGAGATACCAGAGTGTATAGATCTAAGGCACATGGGTTGTAATTCACATGGACATTATGTTCTAGGGATACTTTCTATTCCTCTGGAGCAGTGATTCTCAACTATCCTGATGCTGTATATAACCCTTTAATACAGTTCCTCATGTTGTAGTGACCCCTAATCATAAAATTATTTTATTGCTACTTCATAACTATAATTTTGCTACTATTATGAACCATAATATAAATCTCTGTGTTTTCTCGTAGTCTTAGGTTACCTCTACAAAAGGGTCATTTTTATCCCCAAGGTGGTTGCAGCCGACAGTTGAGAACCATTGAGAAAGGGAGGGAGGGAGGGAGAGAGGGAGGGAAGGAGAGAGAGAGAGAGATTCTTTCAAACTTATCACATACCATTTACTCCATAATTCTTCAAACTGTCTTAATATACCAGTCCTTTTACATTCAAATTCACCTCTATTGCATAAATAATGACTATGGTCTTGATAAAGAAGAGAAAAATTTCAGATAAAGAGAAGAAAATATGTGAATCAGCAAAACACTAATTATATTGATTTCTATGGAAAGGACTAAAAAGATGTAGAGGGTAGGATACCCACTCAATAAGGTGTTCTTCCTAAAATGTATGTTCAGAAGAAGAACGGAACAGGAAGTATTACTTGATTCTCATTTATATTTTCCTATTTCAATTTTCTCCTCTCTTGTTCCATCTTCTATATCTTTTTCTCTGCCATTATTCTAAATTTGATAGAGATAGATAATAATGAAGTGATTCAGTTTTCTTCCTTTGTTTAATGATCAGGGCTTACTTGAAAGGACTCAACTAAGGCGTCTCTACAAAGTACTTCACTGTTATTTTCATCCATTGAAAATTTCCCTCACGTAAGACCATCTTCCTCCTCATTTTCAGTATTTTAGTATTATTATATTTGATTTTATTAGAACATTTCAGTGAATGTCAGCCTTTTCAAAATTATGTGTTTTGTTAAGATGAATAACAAAAATTCACAGAGTAAATATTAGTATAGAAGATTTATAATTACTCAATTTGAATAAAAACATAATTTAAGATGTCTTTCATTATTGCTGTTATCAAGGAGTGACATAAATAGACCATTTGTCATCTTTTTGTCCTTGCCTGAATTTTGTTCAGTTCAGGGCTGTAGTTTAAGAATAGATAGCACAATATTAAGAAACAAATTGCATCTAGTACCTATATATAAAACATCTCTTAAAAAGTTTCTGTTTCGTTAAGTAACTTACTCTGGGTTCCTTTCCTCTTCGTGTGAATACACGAAGACACATTCATGTATGGGGAATTGAGGAATAAATATTGAGAATGAAACCCAGGAAATCCTGCATACTAGTCAAGCACTTTACCATTGAGCTGTATTCTCATGGTACTCTTATGGTAGCTATTATAAGTAGTTTGAGATGTCTGAGAACTCTCATTCCCTATTTGAAGTCTTGCTTTGGGTCTGTATATTCCCACTTTCTGAAGTTAAGTTCCATTCATCTTTACTCACCTCTTGAAACAATTCATTGCCTGCTGCAACTCAGGATAAAACTTGCTGTTTCTTATACCTTGTCACTGTTGGGGGGGGCTCTATGAGAAACTGAATCTTTTCTGAAGCTACTGTCTTTTGTGAAATTCTACCAAGAGATAGATGTTTTTCTTCCACAGCCTTCATTATACTACATTGCCCAGAATAGATATCTTCTCTTTCTTTGGTTGTTTTTTGCTAGTCCCTTTCATTTTCTCTAAAATGACCACAAACTTCCTGTTGTAGTAGTCATCTTCCAAGTCCAAGCCCCTCTTATCTTAATACACATGTTTTGTTGATTTTAATATTCTGGGTTATTGTCATTATCTCAACAACTATTTCAAGTCAATTTATTGCCTGTGAGTTCCTGTACCATCAAAAATCCTAGTTGTATACTTCCAGTATATACAATGGCAGAGAAAACATTTCCATTCCAAAGGGAGAAATGGGAATGGAGCAAAGAAACGTTAGATCAAAGAAAGAGCAAACACAGCAGAGCACACAGTAAACGCTGTGGCTCCTTGTAGCATTTGGGGCTTATGACAGCATCTGTGAACTTAAGTGAGTTTGTGTAGCTCCACCCCACAGTACCGCTATTTGAAGGGTACATGTACTCTCTTGCTGATTCAGTTTGTTTTTTGTTTTGCTTTTTTTTTTAAATACTTATTTATTATGTATACAATATTCTGTCTGTGTGTATGTCTGCAGGCCAGAAGAGGGCACCAGACCTCATTACAGATGGTTGTGAGCCACCATGTGGTTGCCGGGAATTGAACTCAGGACCTTTGGAAGAGCAGGCAATGCTCTTAACCACTGAGCCATCTCTCCAGCCCCCTCTCTCTCTTGCTGATTCAATCTGTACTTTGATCTTTCCTCATTTTGCATTCCATGTCCCTATTATACCCAATATCCTAGGTCCCTATTGCTTCCTAGACTTTGCCTTCAGAGATTTATAGTGGCCTGTAAAGGGTCTTCTTGCAGTGAATCTAACCATGCCACTTATTTCCTGGCTTTTGGTTTTCTGAAACATTGGCGAAAGCCTTTAGTACCCGCTATGTTTGTCTGTCTACAAGGCAGCACTAAGTGCATGACAACTTTGTCATGCTGTCAGCTTGAAATGCAGCCTGACCCTGTTTTATTATAGTTGCAGTAGCCTCTAAGCATATGGATGACTAAATTAGGGGAAACATTTTTCTAGGTCTGCTTAGTCCAGCAGGGACTACTGCAGCCTCCGCTTTAATTACACGCATGATCTAACAACCCTGACTTTGTCTGTAGCTGGTCTGTACAATCTGTCGAAAACTTTCACTGTGCCCATCTTTCTTTCCTTATTAAATGAATATTTTTCAAACCTTTCTGTCTCTTTCCCCACCTCAGTATTTCATTGTAATTCTGAATAAAAGTCAGTGACCAATAACCATGCCCCAGCTTTATTGACCAAATACTATGATTTTTAGCACTCAGCCTCACTCAAGTTTTCAGGACACAAGCAAAATGGAACCAGGTTTTTTCCCAGAATGTGACATGAGTGGTCTCTTGTCCTGTTCCCAATAGAATCCTTATTCCTGAAACCATGTGGTTGCTGGGAATTGAACTCAGGACCTCCTGCAGAGCAGCCAGTGCTCTTAACCTCTGAGCCATCTCTCCAGCCTTAAGTTTTTAATTTTTTACTTTTAATTTGGTTTATTTGGTAAAAATATCTATTCTTCCCTCTGCATTAAAATTTCTGTAGGAGAAATTCTGGAAGGCAGTATGACTGAAATGCAATTAAGATTTAGATTCACCCTATCCTCATGTGCCTCCTGTAATTTCTCTTCAACAGTAATCAATTCCTCTTCCGCTTTAGCTGTTAATTCTCTGGGACTATTTGTCTTTATTACCATCTAAAGTTTTGTTTAGATCAGGTGTTATCCCAACAGCTGGTCGTAGACTGGAAATGTCTCTTAATGATCTTTGAAAGTCATTAAGAGTCTGTAATTGATCTCTCCTAATTTGTGCCTTTTGTGCTCTAATTTTCTGTTAGCCTATTTTATAACTTAGATAATTGACAGAATCTCCTCTTTGTATTTTTTTCAGGAGCAATCTGTAATCTTAATTTAGGCAAAACTTTCTTTACTTCTTCAGACATTCTTTCTAAAGTATTTATGTTTGAATCAGATAGCAAAATGTCATCCATGTAATGGTAAATTATAGATTTAGGAAATTTTTTAAGTATTATTTCCAATGGCTGACTTACAATGTATTCACATAGGGTGGGGCTATTAAGTATTCCCGGTGGAAGGATGGTTTATTGGTTTCTCCTAGTAGGTTGAGAATTATTATAAGTAGGCACTGTGAATGCAAATTTTTCCTCTGTCCTTTTCTTGTAAAGGTATAG